ATTTAATTCAGATCTTATCTTGTTTTTCCGACCCTTCTTTTTTCTCTATAAATAGAGGTCATATCTCCCGTTTTTCAATAATCGACAAGCTTGATCAAAAAATAATTCTCTTCTCCCTCTTTAGCCTAAACACTAGCATCCCTATTCTTTCATTCCTTCTCCTAAGCACTCCAAGAAGTCCATACAATACCTGAAGTTCTATACTTTAACCAAGGCGTGAAAGGTATAATTCACTATGGGTTTGGATCAAACAAAATCTAATTTTTATTTAATTTAATTTCTATTTGATTTATATTTTTTTATTGAAGTTACTAAAAATTTATTCATGATGTAACAATTTAAAGGAAAGCGCGAAATGTGAATAATTAATTTAATTACTTATTTTTATTTTAATATTGCTAATATCATGATTAGGTTTATTATTATTTGATTTGAATAACACTATTATTTTTGAATTGCTTCCAATATTAATGTTTATTTTATTACTTTTATGATCGCCATATTGCATGTTTAAAAGGAATATGTAATAGATAATCACGCCCAATAAGATAATTTAGACAACCGATTTAGGTTCCTTTTTAATCTTGTTATTTAATCAAGTGATCATTAATTCTATAGAATTATATGGTGCATTAATATTCAACCAATTTAGTTTAATAATAGTTTAGAGCAAATTGAATCTCTGTTTGTATGCCTTTGAGATCGCAGGAATCTCTTTTCACTATAAGAATCGAGTAGAGGCCAATACGAGCGAATGTGACTCCATGACTCACTTCGTACCATCATCCCCGATCCTCCTTTCGTGGTTCTGAACCATATGGAGTAAGTAATCTCATGGATTATGAATGGGGTGTAACCTTCACGGGTCAATCGTAGTTACCTTTCGTTGTCCCTTATCGTGGTTGCCTTTTGTGATCCGTGAACGGTTTACAAGTTCCTTAAAAACTTGTTGGCGGCTCCCTACTTTCCTTGTCCTTAATCGTATTATGTTAATTCCCACTTCATATGAGTGCCAAGAATATTCACACATGCTTTAACGTAGGCGCACATCGAGCGACGCCTGCACCAACCACACATTGCGGTAGGGTACTACGTCAACAAACAAGTAGCCCTTAAACAAAGTAACCCCTGACTGACTTAGTAACCTCTGACCAAGTAACCCCTAACTGACCTAGTAACCCCCGACCTCGTAACCCCTGACCGACCTAGTAGCCCCTAACTGAACTAGTAACCCCTGACTGACCTAGTAACCCTTGACCTAGTAACCCCTAGTAACAGTAACCCCTAACCGACCTAGTGACCCTCGACCTAATAACCCCTAACCGACTAAGTAACCACTAATCAACTTAGTAACGTTGGACCAAGTAACCTTTCTGTACCCACTACCCCACGCCGCCAACAACCACGCCATCACCAACGAGCATACCACTGCCCTATGCGCCACCACGCCACCACCACATTTCATCAAACCTACAACCAAACAACACCTAAACCACACCCAACCACACTCGTACGGTACCACGATAGCATCCAAACCACACCCAAACTTTAGATGTAACCGAAACACTAACAAATCCCCACCACAAAAGTAACCAAATCTTACCCAACCCTTTTCCCACCACAACAGCAACCAAACATTACCCACCACAAGGTCCCCACCCAAACCACACCTAAACCACACCTACACCACAACAGCACAAACACAAAACAACCGTAAAAAAAATTACAAATCGTAAAAAAAAAAAATTAAAAAATTAAATGAACAAATACCTTAAAATTTAATAATTGCTTCAAATTTCACTTCGAATATGGTTAAAAGGCCTAATTCAACTATCAAAAATGTAGATCTAGAGTTTTCATGGCTGAATTTGGCCTTAAAAACCTCTAGCTAGTTTTCCGGCGACGGAGTACGAAGAGCTCCACCGTTACCATTGGTGCACCAAATAACTTGTTTGGATGAGCTAATTGGAGAAGAAGAAAAGAGGAGAGAGAAAGAGGAGAGAGAAAGAGCATGAAGCTCGGTGAAAGGAATGGGTTTGGGTGGGCTGACTAGAGAAAAGAGGAGAGAGAAAAAAGAGAGATGAAGAATAAAAAAAATTGTACGTAACTGGCCGTACAATACGGTCAGCCGCATATGAAACTTTGTAATTACTCAATTATATATCTTAAATTCTATATGTAAACTTCAATTTCTATTCCTATATATTAGTAATTAATTTCTTGTATGTAAATACTATATATTGTGACAAGCCCCCTTAAGTGACTTGTATATTCTCTATAAACTACTAGTATATATTAATATTGTTACACTTACCATTTATGAATGAGTAGGTCCAAAAAAAAAAATGGAAAAAATTACAATAATATTAAGCCCAGAATAATTGACAAAGTGAAATTTAGAACACACGACAATGTAATTGTTTGACCTGAAATATATATAATTAAATACAAGTATACAATATTAAAAACTTGATGATATAAAACATTAAATTAATTACTAATTAACAAATTATATTTCAAGATAATTTTTTTTTTTCCAATACCTTACTCAAAAAACTGGGTTAAAGTTAGTATGTTAATAGTAAAAAAAATGCCCAATATATATGTTAAGTATTATAGGACGAGGGTAGTATAATACATAAAGTTTGAAGTTGGCCAATTTATAAAATTGGTAAAAAAAAAAAAGACTTCATGCCACAAATTGATAAAAATAATTGCTCATGTGTTTCCCGACAACAATTTACCCAAAAAATTGATCAAATTTGAAGGAAGTCAACACGTGTAGTTCACACCTCCGTTCTAATATTATCTTTTTTGCATAATTTTTTTGGCCCTCATAAACTTTAAATCTCAACTCAATGACTCATCTTATTCAACTTCCACAAAATTAAAAAAAGACTTTTTTTTCGTTATTAGCGTTTGATTTTGTTCACCTTATTTTCACTTATTTCAGTTATAATAAGTTTAGATAAGTTAAGTTTAGGAAAAATAAGTTTTGATAAGGGTTGTTTAAGTTCAAATTACAACTAAAAAAAGTTTTAATAAATTTATATAAGTTCAGTTAAATTCAAATAAGTTTAGATAAGTTAAGTTAAGTTCAAATAAATAAAAATTAGGTGAATAAAACACACCCTTTTAGTGTGAGGAAAACTTTCCATCTACATTGAAGTGATGACAAAGAAAAACAAATCAATTTCGTACATAAAAAAGCAAGAAGTCATCAAATTGTTGAAGACCCACAAAATTAGTTTTATAGAGAAGGTAAGTCTTAATTAATTATTGTTAGTTTTATAGAGAAGGTAAGTCTTAATTAATTATTGTTATTTCTTGTATGTCTAATCTAATTGATAAGTTAATTTCGTACTTGCTAGTTGCTACCATTATTATCAATTTAATTGAATAATGTACTCTTTTACTGTACATTAATAGGCACCTATACACTAACTAGTAACAATCTAGTTAATAGTTACTCCATTTGTCTCATAATACAATATCTCTTTGTGTTTTTACACGGGAATAAATAAATTATAAATTCGTTAAAATTAATGATTAGAATTACATATGTACAAATGGGGTTAGAGGGAGATAGAGAAAAAGAAAAAGAAGTAGGGAACAATAAATAGATAAACAGAGAAAGTTTTGGAAATTAATGTTAAAAGTGCAAAACAAAAAAAACCAAAAGAAAAAGGAAAAAAAAATACAACTCATTAGAAAGAGAGTAAAAATTGTTAAAAAGTACAACCTTAAAATAGAAAGAGACATTACATTACCAAATACGAAAAAAGATATTGTATTACTTCTTTTTTGGTGTAAAAAGAGACATTGTATTATGAGATGGAGGGAGTAATATATAAGCAAAAAGTTCATATATAACGAACTAATAATAAAGCTTCAATAAATATAAACTGCATAGTTCAATAAACATGTTATGCTAAAATAAATATTGGGTAATAGAGAAAGTAAATATGTAAAAGGAACATTATAGTAGTTAAGGGTTTAAGTATTAAAAATTAGAACTTTTTGTAAGAAACTATCTAATAAAGCCTAAATTTTGTGAGAAATTACCTAATAAAAAAATGTTGTAAGAAAGTACCTAATAAAAGATAAAATAGTGTAAGATACGGAATACTACCTTTGACCAAAATTCCACCGTTACTTAATTTTACGACATTGATCCACCTTAAAACACGTCCGAAATCATCGTGAGGGTTATTTTTCAAGTTGGTAAGATAATTTCGGGGTGATTAGAGGATATTCCGAGTTGGTGAGGATAGATTAGTGTTTCGGGAAGGTGGTTTTGGGGTTCAAAGGTGGTTAAGATGTGGTGGAGACAATTTCAAGCAAATTGTGTTAGTTTTGGGAGTGTTTTAAGGTCAATCAATAGTAGAATTTCGGTTTAAGTAGTATTTTACAACATTTTACGTTTTCTTAGGTATTTTTTTAAATAACATTTTACCTTTATTAACTAGTTTATTACAACATTATTTTTTATTAGGTAGTTTCTTGCAAAATTTGAGTTTTATTGCCTAGTTTTTTTTGACAAAAAGCCCTAAAAATTATTGTTTTTTTTTTTGACCAAAACTAATTAGGGGAATGAAAAAAGTGGGAAAATATGCAAACAAGGGAATAAAAGCACAATAAGTTGGTGTGAATTACACGTGTTGACTTTCGTCATGTCTGATCAGTATTTTGGCCTTATTGTCCCCGAGGCTATTTTAAATTACTCATATGTTGTCTGAGCAATTTTTTTTACTAATTTGTTACACAAGGTCTTTATGTTTTACCAATTTGTTCAATTGACCGCATAAACTTAGAAGAAAAACAAAAAAGAGAGAAATACGTATGCTCTACATTTAATTTGTAAGGAAACTAGGATCGATCAATATACTATATACCGGCTAACATTTCGAGTTGTTACACACAACAGAACAAAGCAATAAATTACCATACATATATTGATAGAGACAAAGCATATGTGATACATGGTGATATGAACGCACCTATAAAATCTGTTACAGTTCTGCCATTGTTAAATCTTCCTAAGGGAATTTTGCCTGGAAAGTTGACACTATAAGGGGCGTAATTCGCCCTAGCAAATGTGGGCAACATATTGTTATTGCCACTATCCACCAAAGAGTCTCCCAAGACATACAAGGCTGGGACTAGAGGAGATGATTGGGTTAACAGAAAACGGGTGAAAATTAAAATTATTAAGTTGAGAATTTTTGGGTGCAACATTTTTGAAGCTAATCAAGAAAAACTAATTACTTGAGAATATTCACCAAAAAGATGACTTGAAAATAATCAGATGTATGAAGGGGGAACGTGATTGCCACGATTATAGGTACTTGAAATCACGTAGGATGAGTTCATTATATTTATGAAATATAATGCATGCTATAATTTTAAAGTTGTTGCTCATGAATATAGAAATTTAATTTAATATGTTGTGGACATTAAACAAAATATTGCATGATTTGATTAAATATACTATAGACTATAATTAAAACCGCAAAAGATGATGACCGAATTCTTGAGGGATATATCTCAAAAGGACTTCTATTTTCTCTTTCAACTTATTAAAGAATCAAACTAGATAACAACAGATTAGAGCAAACTAATGGTTTCATATGTATCAGAAAATCTTTAGTGGACCTGGTTCACAATAATATTATTGTGGACCTAAGGTTTATTCATACGTAATTGACATTATATTCAATACGGTGACCTTTATTTTTAAGATAGTAACCTTATTTTTAACATAGTAACTTTGTTTAAAATTTTGAGAGACCTTTAATGTTATTATGAACTTAGAGTACAACATTATGTTGAATTGTGACCTAATTTTAATATAGTGATATTTATTATTCATATTGACCATTATATTAAAAACTTTAATACAAAAATAACCTTTTATAGCTTTTAAAATATCACAATAACTTTTATTTCAACATATAAATTTTAATATAGTAATCTTTTTTTTTTAATAATAAAACAACATATTATCTCTAATGTTCATGGTCCATAATAAATTAGTGTAAAACAGGTCCATTTAAAAATTTGTACATATTTATTTCCTTACTACTCTATTGGTTATTTGATCCGTATTTAGTTTGCAACTTTTTAAAAAAATTTGTAAAGACATTTTTTTAGGGGCATGTTTTTCCTATAAGAAATGTATGGTTGTTGAAATATTTAATTTTATTTAAGATTTGATTACGTTTTGTTTCTGAAAACAGAATGCTCCTGGGAGTCTTAAGGTTGTTGAACCATGTCTGAGCTATGCCCTTGAGAGTAGTAGGGAAGAACCTACACCATGAGGCCTCACACCCGGTTTGGACTCCCATCTGTGCTTTGTAAGCATTCAGATGGTCTGTCGGGTCTGTCTTTCCATCATAAGGGTCCAATGTAGAGATCTTGACCTTGGGAGGAATAGGGGTATTCATTATCTCCTAGCTGAAGGGGGTGATGTTCTTGACAATCCCGAGCCTCCGTGGGCTGGGGGAGGAAGGACGCTCGGGGCTTTTTCATACTGAACGAGCGGGCTGATTAGTTCCTCTTCTTGGTCTGGAGGTAGCTGAGTGAATCATGCTATCTCGGTACCTTGTTGACCCATGTCGAGAGTGAACTCTAGTTCGACCTTTCTGGGGGGTTGTTATCTTCCTTGGAGTTCTCCCTCTTGGAGTTGATTATTTCTCGGGCATCTAGAGTGCCATCCATCATCCTTCGGTCATTGATAATCTCTCTAGCATCTCTTGGCCTGCTTGGCTGCCTTGTCTCCCGCTGGGGGTCATGGGACTGATCGGGCTGAGAGCGAAGAGATGTCTGATGCTGAGGCCGAGAGGAGGCTTGATGGATAAGGGATACGTGAGGTAGAGGATTAGGATGCGGAGCGCTCCCCAGCCTGCCTTGCCCCACCCCTTGGTTGATAAGTGCCCTGAGGCTTTCCTCCAAGTTTCTGTTGATTTGGACTGCCAGCTGGTCCAAGTCTCGGCGAGTGACCACCTGGGGGCTGTTCACATCTCTCTCAGGTTCACTACGAGCCCTAGGTACAATCTCCTCGACTATGTGAGGGTTCCTAGCCGAGAGAATTGGAGCTAGCCTAATAGCATCTTGATGAGTGTTGCGGGGACGCCTAGTGTTCACCATGACTTTTTGTTTGTTTTCCCCACAGACGACGCCACCTGTTTCTAAAAACAGAATGCTCTTGGGAGTCTTAAGGTAGTAAGGTATCAAGATGTCGTAGAACTAGGTCCAATGTATGTCCGAATTTCCCTCCGTTATGCCTTACTGTCCGAGAGCTAGGCCTGCAAAAGAGAAAGAAGGTTAACTGCTCCGGGGGTGTGACCTGGGAAAGCCCCTCCGATGCTTAAGTCAGTGAATGTACTTTCTAGAGATAGAAAGTAGAGAGAGAAAGAGTACTTTAGAGAGAGAAAGTAGAGAGAGAAGGTTCGAGAATTAGGAAAAAGTTACCATCATCAATGATTGGAGAGCTATTTATAGATGTACTTTCAGGTGGCAGAAGTTGTACTTAATTGGACAGATTAGGGGTAAATCCGTACTTTGCTCTGACTAATGATGGGCTGGATCATGGAGGGGTATTTTTGTAATTCCAGGTCACTGGGCATAGGACAATGGACTAGGCCCAAACACGTTTCATTACTCGGCACAAGATAGATTTTTAAAAATATTTTTCTTAGGGCTCGTTTGACATCATTGTGTTTTTATGTTTTTTTGGTTTTTTGTTTTATTTTTTTTAAATCATATGATATATATCACATAATGAATAAAAAATTTGTTCAACTTATTAAAATCATAATAATTTTGAAAATTGACAACCAAAAAGTGGAAATGTTTTTTTTCTTGTTTCTTATTTTTTGTTTTTAGTTTTAAAAAATACAAAAAACGATACCAAACAAGCCCTTAGCTTGTGATAGTTTTTTGTATGTTTTATCATATCCCTTAGTGTGTATATATATATATATATATGGGCTAAAAACAACAAATACAACTAAAGTTTTTGCCTCTCATTTATTTTACATGGTATTAGAGTCCGGCCACGATTTGCGACCTTTAATGATTGTATTAGGGTCTGGTCTCTTGGCCATTGAATGGTCCATGTGGGGTTTGTGTGAAAATGCACTCCGGACCCATGAAAAATCACATGTGACTAGATTGAAAAAGGACCTTACACATAAGAGGGAGTTTTGAGGAATGACCTTTCCAAACAACACAGTTAAGTGTCCTACTTTAATAAATATTGAGAGATAATCACTACATAAGGAAAACGCGAAACTCTTATCGCCATATGGATTGAAGATGAAACCTCATTGGACTTGTGATTTAACATGGACAAATCTGTAAAAGGGTAAGGGTTTCTTCAATCCTACTTTGATTATCCTTTGTTATATCGCGCTATCCGTAATGGGAAAAATTTAGTCTATCCATAATAGGCGGTGACCGTTACATATGTGGCCATTATGGATAGACAATGTTATTTGTAACGGGCTTTTACCCGATAAAAATAACCCCATTATTTGTGAAGGGCATCCAAACTCCCGTTACAAATAATCCCGTTATTCATAATGGCACCAAAAAGCCCGTTACATATAACCCTTTTATTCATAACGGGCAAGATATCTGCCCGTTACAAATAGTGTGTGCCCCAAATAAAAAAATAAAAAAATTCTAGCACATGCTGGACCTCTTGCTTGCACAATCATTTTATCAATTAATTAGTAATTAGTATACAAATCATGTACAATTAGCAAAAAGCTTACATTCATTATCACCTAATAACTAAAAAAAAAAGAGTAACTTTTGTCACTACTACAAAAAAGGCCTTAGAGAACTGTTAGAATAGGCTTTATAGATCTTCTTAGGGTCGTTATTCTTCTAAGCAATGTATAAAGTATAGAGAACGAGTCATTTTTATAATAACAAATAGGGAACGGTTGTGACTCACAACCGTACTTCTTTTTTCCCTTCTTAAATTCTTACACTAAGGAAGGAATAAAGAATGGTTTAGGCCACTTAACCGTTATATTTGTAGTGCAACAGAGAACGGTTATGTTAAATAACAATTCTTTAATTTTTTTTTAATTCGGCCATAATTATTCGAATTATCCTTTTTACGTATTTTATATTGTATTAATGCTGTATTTTAATAATCTGTATTATTTTTGTATTTCATTTTAGACGTATATTTGTTGTATTCATGTTTTGTATCTTGTAAGAAAATCCATGATCTTGTATACGTGCAATATAAATTTCTGTATAAAAAATTAACAAAAATATTTCCAGATATGACGAAAGCCATCAAAATATATTTCATATATATAATTTAAAACATCCAACCAGAATTAAATTGAATCATTCATAAAAAAAATTTCACTATACAAACAAATACGTGAGTTAAATATCAAAACACCATTCTAGTTAATATTGATTTAAAAAAAATCATGCTTAGATATACCAATACCATATTGATCTACAATTCACATAAATCATCGTTGTCGTCATTTGGTTGATGGTATCCGGTAGCATATGAAATCCACCTTTCCCTAAGCTCGTCGATCATTTGTTGATAATATGTAGGAGGAACTTGCTTAAAATATGATGAGTGTCATTTATGGCACTCATTTGGTTCTTTTTAGGATGAATTTCATGATATTCTATAGCTCTTTTACTTAGATTTTCCTTGATTTACCCTTTATTTCTTTTAGTTTGCATTTTCTTAGTTTGATTTCTTCCTTTATGCATTTCTTGGTTTATTTTGTTATTTTCTCTTTTATTTGCTTGTTTTCCTTTATTTTTCAGGTTAAGATCGTTTTCCAGGTTTCCCGATCCTCTTCCCGAGTTTGGCATTGATTAGGATTCTTAGTGGTCTCCATTTGAAGCTCAAGCATGGAGAAGTGCAAGTTCCTAAAGATTTTGAGCTGTGCATTCAAGCCGTGGGGGCATGATTTCTTGTCTTGAACCCCTAAACATGGAGTTTAGAAGCTGCAAGGTTCCGTGCTTATCAAGAGAATTAAGTGGAATGCACGAGGAGCATCGGAATGATAGGGAAGAGGGCTCCCCTTCTCCCAGGCTCGGGCGCGCGCGACCATGGCGCGGACGCGCCTATCTGGGTCCTTGTTCCGTGCCCTGTTTTACGCGGCCGCGCTCCCCTTATGGTTGGCCGCACCTGTATGGGTTTATTTGGGGACGATATAACTAACTTCTCTTAGTTAGTTTTACTATATATAGATTTTTCTTTCTATTTTGAGAGAGAGAGAATAATTAGAAAATAATTACAGAATTAATTCAGAAATTAGGCTAGAATTTTAGAGAGAGAAACTCTAGATTGTAGAGAGAGAAGTTCTGAGTGTTGATTGATGATTGAAGATTGTTAATTCTAGCATATCCTCCATTGATTTGAAGCAAGTTTGTAAGGATTTCTTTTACTTGAATGCAATTTTCAGCTTATCATTTCAATTGTTTTGTTGATTGTTCAAGTTTGAATTGAATTTGTGATTGAATTAGTTCTATTGATATGATGATGATGAAATTGTTGATTAGCTTATTTTTTATCTTAATATCAATGGATTGTGAGTATACTCTTGCTAGGGAATGGTGAAGCAAGTATGAGTGATGGATTGATGCTAATTGGGGGAAATTGATGGAGTTGATGTTGTGATTAAATTGGTTGATTAATTAAGTGCATGTGTGTGATTAATTGAAGAGTATCTAACTTTGATTTGTTGCACTAGAATGCATTGTAGGCTTCCATTGATACTGAAAATTGATATGTGGCTTGCTTTTGTCGATTGAGTAGGTTTGCAAGGCTGCTAGTTAGAGTCTCTCATAGTAGGCGCTAGCTTGACCTATAGGAGATTCGCCTACCTTACTCTCTTCATTGCTTAGTTGATTTTCCCTCGCAACACTTGACTTAGTAATCTCCAATCCCAATTAGCTATGTCCATTCCGAGTACATGCGGATCCTAACCTTAGTGCTTGTTAAATTTGATTTCATTTGATTGTTTTGAATACACACACCTCACTTTATTGCTTCGAAATAGCTTAGCTTTGACTTTAGCTTTCATTTCCTATTCCTAGTGGTTCGACCCTCGACTTACTCTATGATTTGTGTAGGGATGTGTTGAGAGATTATAATTTTGTTTTGACAAAGGGTAGATTAGTTTTCAACGACCTAATCTCGCCTACGGGCAAAAAATGGCGCCATTGCCGGGGAATGTCGTAGATGATTGCTATTGTTGTTGACTCTATTCCACCTTAATCTAAAAATTACAAAAAAGATTTTCTTCTTAATGCTACATTTGTAGCCGTGCTACTAATAATTTGTTTGAGATTGTGTAAGCAAGTGAACATGGGAGAAGCTCAAAGGGTTACATTGAAGGAGTTGGGTACTCCGGGTGCATACAAGTATGAGAGCGGGATTGCTTCATTGGTGATTCCAGATAGTGATTTTGAAATTAAGTCGGAAATGATTACCTTGATTGAGAGGCGACAATATAGTGTTGCATCGAATGAAAGTCCTCTCAACCACCTTAAGGAATTCAAGAAATATTGCAACACTATTAGGGTGAGTGGGGTAGCACAAGAGTTTATAAGGCTCAAATTGTTCCCTTTTTCCCTCATAGGGCGAGCCTTGGAATGGTTGGACAAGGAGGTCAAGCCGAATTCTTTAAGAAAATGGGACGATGTTACCAATGGATTCTTATCCCGTTTCTACCCTCAAAAGAAAACGGCGGAAGCTAGAGCTTTGATCCAAAATTTCAAGCAAAGGCCTAATGAAAATCTCTATGAAGCATGACAGAGGTACAAAGAGTATCAAAGAGAGTGCCCTCACCACGGAATTCCAACTTACCAAACAATTCAAAATTTCTATGGTGGTTTGAGTCCTCAAGGTAGGTCGAGCTTAGATGCCGGAGCCGGAGGCCCAATCATGAACAAGACGGTGGAAGAGGTTGTTGATGTAATAGATGATGTAGTGAGGAACTACATGAGTTGGCAAGAGGTTGAGGAAGAGTCAACAAACGAGTGTGCCTCGGTTGATCAAGTCAATGCCATCAACAAATTGTCTACTCTAATTTCGGACTTAGGGAAGGAGGTGGCTTCTATCAAAGCTAAGCTTGAAAATTCATCTTCACAAGCACAAGATCTTCCCTCCCAATTTAAGGGAGAGGTACATCTTGTTAATCTAACCCTCTTTTCGCTTCTTGTTGCATGATTAGAGAATGTTTGGCTTGTGATTTATGCAGAATAAATGATCGTGATGCTTCTAATTGTCCAAATGTTCCTTGTGATGGATGTGATGAATACGATGAAAATGAAAATTTTCATGTGAATTATATTGGTAATAGTGGTTTTGGATCTAGAGTTAATGCTCAAAAGAATGTTGGAAATAGGAACTATCACAACCATCGGAGCTACGATAATTATAACCAAAATAGTGGTTATTGGAACGAAGTAACCCAAGGGTTTCATGGTAACCATAACAACTTTGGTTGTAATGATCAAAGCTACGACCAAGAATATGGGGATCATAACCAAGGTTATGGTAATCATAGTCTAAATTCTTGATAAGGGTAATTGGAGTAACCAAAGTAGAGGAAATTTTCAAAATGATGCTCAAAGGGGTTTCTCACCCAAATGTACTCCAATATAATAAGTCAATGCCAAAGTGATGATTCCTATGATCAACAATCTCAATTTATGAGTAAGCTAGAGAATTTCATGGTAGATTAAGCTAAGAAGTTGGACGATTACATAGCCTCTAGTGACAAAATGTTTCATGGCCTATTAACTCATGGAAAGATGCTTGAGAACTGTAGGCGTCGCTCGAAGTGCGCCTACGTTAAAGCATGTTGTGAATATGCTAACACTCATAGGAAGTGGGAATTGACATATACGATTAGGGACAAGGAAAGTACGGAGACGCCAACATGTTTTTAAGGAACTTGTAAAACGTTCATGGATCATAAAAGGCAAACACGATAAAGGGACAACGAAGGAAACAACGATTGACCCGAGAAGGATACACCCCATTCATAATCCATGAGATTACTAACTCTATATGGTTTGGAAACACAAAAGGAGGATCGGGGAAAATGGTACGAAGTGAGTCATGGAGTCACATTCGCCTGTATTGGCCTCTACTCGATTCTTATCCTTGAAAAGTGATTCAATTTGCTCCAAACTATTATTAAGCTAAATTGGTTGAATATTAATGCAACATATAATTCTAAAAAATTTAGTGATCACTTGATTAAACAACAAGATTAAAAAGGAACCTAAACCGATTGTCCAAATTATCTTATTAGGCGTGATTTTCAATTACATATTTCCCTTAACATGCAATATGGTGATCAATAAAAAATAATAGAATAAACATTAATATTGGAAGAAATTTAACAATAATAGTGTTAGCCAAATCAAATAATAATAATAACAACCCTAATCATGATACTAGAAATATTAAAAATAAAATAAGAGTAATTAATTAATTACTCACATTCTGCGCGTTCCTTTAAATTGCTACATCATGAATAAACTGTTAGTAACTTCAATAAAAATATAAATTAAATGGAAATTAAATTAAATTAAAAGTAGAGTTGATTTGGTCCAAACCCTCAGTCAATTATACCTTTCACGCCTTGGTTCAAGTATAGAACTTATGGTATTGTATGGACTCCTTGGAGTGCTTAGGGGAAGTATATATTATGGAAGAATAGGGAGGCTAGTGTTTAGGCTAAAGAGGGAGAAGAGAATTATTTGATGATCAAGCTCGTTGATGATTGGAAAAGGGAGATATGACCTCTATTTATAGAGAAAAAAGAAGGTCGAAGAATCAAGAAAAGATGAGAATTCGAATCGGATAAAACTCTTGCGATAGACAGCAGTTTTTGCGGTTTTTGTTTTTATCATATCTTTTGATCCAGAAATATAAATAAGATGAATAAAATATCGTTGGAAATCTCTTGAAGTGTAATTTCTAACACAATTAAAATCAGATTAAAATATTTTGTAGAATAAAAGATATGGATGAAATAGTGAGATGGTGTCAGTTTTTGATAGAGTTTGACATTTTATTCATATCTTTTCCGTTATAGCTCGGAATTGATATTATAATATATCATTGGAAAGATAATTTCAAGGGATATCCAACCATATAAAATTAAGATAAAAAATATGAGGCAAGAAATTCATATCTGTCTTTCTTTGAACGTCTCTCAATTCGGATAGAAATAGGATTTTCAAAAAGAAAACTTTTATTCAATTTCAAACTCTTTAATCTTATCTTTTTAAAAAGGATAATTAAGATCTTTTAGAAACTTGTAGAAGCTTACAATTAATCCTAATTGGTTTAGGAATGAGATTAAATAATTTGGACCCTCCACATGATCATTGGGTGGTAGGTAAGGTGGGCTTAGGTTTGGTTTGGGCCCGATTCAATATTTTGGTCATAACTTAATCGTTATAACTTGGATTTGGCTTATAATATATCTTTGGAAAGATATTTTCAAGTCCCATCCAAATATTTAATCATTGGACCCATATTATGGACCAAAATAAACTGGATTAAACGTTTTTATAAAAAGGACACGAAATGAATGATTTTAAAGGACATGAAATGAATTATTTTGGGTTTAAAGGCACGAAAAGAGGAAAATAAGTTATGTTTTGGGGAAATAGGCTAGGAATTGGTTTGTTTTTATGAAATGGAAATATGGATTTAAGCACTCCAAGATTAAATACGCAACTCGACCAATAATGGCGGTGAAAGGTTGTTCATCATCGGGTTTGGTTTTGGGGAGACATTTTTAGGTGTCTACAGAAGCCCCCACTTTGATTGAGTTTGTAGAAACGTCAGTTTTGAAAACGATATTCAAAGTAGTTGATAGGGACGGAGAATGATTTAAGACGTTCTGGGATCCTAAATCACTCTGTATACGCTGATACCTGCAAAAAATGTTAATTCCATAGATAAAAGAGTAAAGGAATAGAACGCTTATCTGACACCAGTGTATCGGTGACAAATAAGTTTGGTATTTTCCTATGCTTGAAGGAATCCACCGGATGACGTTTGTTGAAATGCTTTCCATGCGTGAGGAAAGCCGACAGATGAGTTTGGTATTTTCCTATGCTTGAAGGAATCCACCGGATGACGTTTGTTGAAATGCTTTCCATGCTTGAGGAAAGCGGACAGATGAGTTTGGTAGCTTTCTAAGCCTTAAGAAACCTACCGGATGATACTTTCCATGCTTGAGGAAAGTCGACATATGATTTTGGCGTTTTTCTATGCTTGGAGAAATCCACCGTTAATGCTTTCCATGCTTGAGGAAACGACAAAGGAATTTGGCGGTTTTCTATGCTTGAAGAAATCAACCTCATAATACTTTTCATGCTTGAGGAAAGTCGACAGATGATGAGATTGCAAGTCTCTGTGTATCGAGAACCTTGCGTCATGAAATGATGGTGGTTTGTTTAACCCCGAACGTGGGCTGTAGATGGTCCGCTTGTCCCCGAACGTGGGCTGTAAATGGTTCGCTTGTCCCCAAACGTGGGCTGTAAATGGTTCGCTTGTCCCCGAACGTGGGCTGTTGATGGTCCGCTTGTCCCTGGACGTGGGCTGTAGATGGTCCGCTTGTCCCCGAACGTGGGCTGTAGATGGTCCGCTTATCCCCGGACGTGGGCTGTAGATGGTCTGCTTGTCCCCGAACGTGGGTTGTAGATGAGACCTGCAAAAATAAATTTGCCAATGGACTCGTATGTATTGTGATTGACTTAACCACTTACTTGACCACGTTCAACTTGTTGTGACATGACATGTGTATGACTTATGAGTGTGTGTGTGCAAAAGAAAAAATTTTCCGTCAATTTTTGTCATGAGTGGAGGGTACCGACTTTCTCTCGAAAAAGAAAGATGTGAAAACTGAACTTTTATTTTCGAACTTCCCTTGATGAGAAAATTTAGAAAAAGTTTTTTTAAACTTCCCCAAAAGAAAAGACGCGAAAAAAGGAAAGAAGTTTTGAACTTCCTCGTTGAGCAAGACAAAATGAATCGCATGGATTGAATTGCTTTTCTTGAAAGTAATGTATGCATGATGCATGTCCTTAGGCAATGAGGCTAAGGGCCATTACATCATGTGACACGATGAATGAACTTAGGTCAAGGAGCTAAGCATCATATATGGTGTAAAGAAACGATCTTGAACGTCACTTAGGTCTGGAAGCTAAGCACGTATACAGATGAAGTGATTATTGCATAATGAACGTTGCTTAGGTCAAGGAGCTAAGCACGATATGCTTTGTATGATTCAAAATCATTGATATATAAATGTTTCTCAGAACATTATGCGTTGCATGAAACAATGAATAATTCTTAGGTCAGGAAGCTAAGCAAGTATACAATGTTTCTTCTAATGAATGTTGTCTTGAAACATGCACAGTGTTGAAACAAGATTTCATCATAAAGGGCTCTTAAAGGGAAGGATGATTGATATGGATATGGATGTGTGAGTGAAGTGTGTGAATTTGATACTAAGGCTGGCTGCAAAGGTTATGGTGATGGAAATATATGTGAGAAGAATCAAAGATGATGACTCTTTAGGCTGGGTAGGCTAAATGATGTGGGTTCAAGCCCCCAAGTCTAGCTCTAAATGGGTAGGGGTAAGCATTGGATATTCTTTGATTCGATCATGCATGCATATGAATATGAATGTGGCCGCACCTCAACTTGAGGTTACCTACGTATCCGTTAGGAATCAGGCCGAACGTAGCTCTAACCAAACTTTGCACAAGTGTATGCACACCTCAAAGTGGTCTTTAAAAGGTTGTAATGTGGTTAAGCTGAAGGTTTAAGGAAGAAAGGGGTACAAGGCTCAAGACCCGAGAGAATCCCCAAGATGTGTAATTATGAATTTGAAAATTTTGAATTTTGCAAGTTTATTTTCATATATTTTTTCTTTAATTTTTTTTTCATTCTTTTGAATCAATGTAAGCAATCTCAGATCATGCGATCCATCCACTCACTTAGCTTTCATGTTTCTCAAGCACGATACCAAGTACTCGATGAGAGACGCAATTTGAGCCGTGTTAATATCAAAGACATTGGAACACTTGCCTTTAGACATTGTTTTATTGTTGCTTTGCTGCTTTTTTTTTAACTTGCTTTTTGAATGTTATACAATTACACATCTTCCAAACCCAAGGTTAAGTGAATGTGGGTTGAAGAAATGAAGGCCAAACGTTAGACGAGGCTCAAAGTGGTTGATGTAGAAATGGAATGTGATTGAATGGTTAACAGGGAATGACAGGATTGCAAAGGTGCCTGAAATCATTGGTGTACCTTGTGTTTAGTTCGGTAATTGATTTTTTTTTCTTTTAATCACATGATGAATGTAAGAAAGAGATGCTCATTTATGAAGAAGGTAAGAAATGTGACACATAGACACATGGATAAGGAGAACCTATGCTAGACTTTTTAGGGGGAAGGGTTTGAAACAAAAGAAGAAGAAAACATGAAATCTTGTTGAGAAGCTTACATCGTGCTTTGTCTTCATGACTTTTTATGAGTTACTTTTAGCTGCCCGCTGAGGAAAATAGTTTCTTGTTGTTTATGCTTTGATTGGAAGGAAAGAAGGAAGGAGTGACGTTCCCCTTATTCTTCCAACTATTGTCTAGTTATTTTAGACTCAAGTACTGTGTAAGGAAGAACTCACTTAATGCATTCACTCAATACTCAGATTGAAAAGGAAGAGTGTATGAAACGATTTTGAAAACTGATGAGAATACTCCACTCATTCCTATTACGACGGAAAACAATGCATGCATGGTCCTAGTATACGATCATAAACAATATAGTGCATTACTCGAAGACAAAGTGTGTGAAATGACTCAACATGTGTGATTAGGTGAGTATATTAAGACTCGTGGTATGATCGCATGGCTAGACATGAGGAAGTTGTGAAAAACAAAGGACCTAATGACCAAATAGCACGGAAGACTAAAAGACAAACTAACTTGATTAATTTTGTCCATTTTTAATGTTTATGCTATTTACTAGGTGAAAACGGTCCATTGGAAATCGTTAGTCATAAATAAGATCAACCACAATCAAAGACAAAGAACACATGTTAAGGTTAGCACAAAACTCGATCACAAGAAACTAGGAAGAGGACTAGAATTCTAGAAGAGTTAAGACTCATGGGTATAAAAAAATCTATAATCCTATGTTATACGAGTTGAAACGGATTAAAGGACTTGGCTAAGACTAGCTTGACACGATTTTTTTTTTTTTTTTTTTTTTTTTTTTTTTTTTTTTGTAAATAAAATAAAAAAGGTTACATTAAAAAGACACCTAAACTGGATAGATTGTAGTATATCAGTTATAACTTTTGATCTGTGACTCTGATTAGGACGAAACTAACGCCAAATGAAAGATAAAACCCGGGGCTACATATCCATAGGTGGCACGATACGTAACTTTTTATAGAACTCCGGCTATGACCAAAACAAATTGACTCTTGTACAGTATACGAGAATTAAAATCCGGGTGACTCAAAAATTAAAAAAAAATCTATGGCTCGACTCTAATAATAAAAAAGGGGTTTGATAAGAGAAAAAAAATAATTAAAAAAAAGGTCAATAAAAAAAATGCACACATAAGCATATAGTCACGCATGATGCAATGAAGTTCGCAACCTAAAGTCAAGTTCTATGTTCGACTATGGTCAAGCGTTTTGGTGTCAAAGGGTACCATGGTTAAGAGTTTGGACGCGTTAGCACGGCAGCCTCCCTTAAGGGTGTATGCCAACGGGCGGCTCCGCGAGTTCGTGATGAAATCGAACTCGACTCCGTGTTTTGGGTGGATTTAAAAACTCGGATGAACCCTTATTGCCATGAGCGTTTTCGGGTTGATAGAACATAAATCCCTTGGGCTAGCCACATACGTAGAACACGTACTATTGTGGCAAAATAGGTAACCTAAAAAAATCATATGCATATGTGACAATGCCAATTAAATCGCAGGAATACATTTCAAGAATCTTTCAAGTCTCATCCACTCATCTTAATTAAATACCGACCACTCAAATCGATAAATAACCAAGAATCCTCCCCAGTGGAGTTGCCAAATTGCAGGCGTCGTTTGAAGTGCGCCTACGTTAAAGCATGTGCTGAATATGCTTGGCACTCTTTCTTTTGAAGTGCGCCTACGTTAAAAGGGTTTTTCTTTTTAAAAATCAAATCTTTATTACCCAAAACTAATCTATGCTATAGTCTAATTATAAATTATGAGTTTGGAGATTTAATTTTGATGTTTGGTTATTGTAATTGTGTTAATTAATTTTCAGATTAGGTTTTTAATTAAAAAGCCCCAATTTTTGAAACCCTAGGTTCTTGATTCATGATTTATTGAAAGATTATGATGTTTTATAGAGTGGGCCTTTTTTTTAAGTGTTTTAAAACTTAATTACAACAAGTTTTAATTATAATAAAGTGCTGGAATTTTATGTAGAACACTTGATATTATGTTTCTTGAAGAAATTTTAATTACCCATTAATTGGGACTTAATTTATGGTGTTTAAATATAATTTCAGCTTATTCTAATTAAATTATGAAGGGTTTTAAAATAGTATATATAGCTGGATATTTGTTTAGAGTGGATATTAATACTCTATTATGGATTTTATGTGTAGGAGACTTTGAAGTAAGCAATTTCTACTAGTCGTGGCAGTTTTAATAACGTACTCAAGGTACGTACGCGTACTTAGCATATTTTGGTGATGTAGAATCATGCTAGGTTTAATTTCAATTAATTACAAGTAGTATCATGCTAAGGTTTAGGTATGAAATTGTGAATTTATGATGTTTGTGATTGAATTTGGAAGCATGAATTATTTGTGATGGTTATAGATTGGAAGATTATATTTTGGGCATGTTGTGTTTGAACCACATTTTTATTTATGGCATGTTATAAATCATGATTAATTAAACTACATGTTTAATTATGTTTGGAATATTGAAAAGGAATTTTATTATGGTACAAATAATTTTTATTGATGCTTTAAGCATGAGGAAGGAGGTATATAATTGTCTATGTACACAAGAAATAAATTGTATGTTAGTGCCTTGTGCACTTAAGGTGTTTTTAACACCAAGGGTTAGGATTTTGGCGCATTATGCGTTTAAGGTGTCTTTGACACTGAGGTAGAATTAAAAAGGGTTCAACAATAAATAATATGTGGTCACTAATTCAAGAATTAAATTGGTATGTTTGTTTGATTGAATAATTATTGTTGATTGACTTATTATGCTTTGAGAGTCATCAGCAAGTCTAATAATATGTAAATAACGTAAAGTGAAAGAGATTACGCACCAAAACTCTTGGAACGTATATACCTTGAGTATGAACAATGGGGGGAGTTATGGGGTTTTATATTTAACCATAACTTCTAATGGAGTACAGGACGCTGTATATTCCTTTCTTTTTATTTATTATTATGCGCAGGAATTCCGCCACCTTTGTGGTTTTGTCGCTGACACGGTTAGCTCCCGTGCCAGTTAACCTCAAATTTATTTGGGGGAGGTTAGGAGGTGGAAACCCGTTCGATGCGTAATCAATGCAAAATGAATTAATTAGTGTCTAGTCATTGTGTTTTGTTGATTTGGTGTGTGTGCTTATGAACAGGTGCAATGAGGTAAGTGTGTGTTGATAGGTAAAAGCATGTTAGTGTGGCTAATTTACGCTTATGTACTCAGCTTTGCTGATTTTGTGTTTTTGTGTATTTGGCCATGTCTTTATCTTGGCCCTATGATGACCAATTTTTAATGGAGAGTAGTGGAAACAAGTAGAAATAAACTTTTCAGGTATTGAAGCATAATCATGATGGGGCATGAGTGAAAAGTGAATCCTACTAGTTTTCTTTAGGTTACTAGGTGTTTTATGCTTTATTTATTTGTGAGATATTTGGTGTGAACTAACACAAAGGTTTAGTTTTGGGAACGATTTTTGAATAAGGGCCTTTAATGGTTCCAAGATGTAGTTTGATTTTACTGAATTGTTCGTTTGGTTTTTAAAACTTCATTTTCGTTTGGTTGACTTTGGGTTGACTTGTTTAATACGTTTTTAATCTTGAGTCTTCCGCTGTATATCTTTTATAATTGGCTTAGCCGTTTTCACGGTGGCAGTAATATCTTTGTTATTCCTAAATCGTATTTTTAAAAGAGTAGAATGGGTTTTTTAAAGGAAAGGAATTTCTAGGGTGTTACAAAGTGGTATCAGAGCTTAGGTTGAGATTTTAAATTACCACTAACCGAAAAAAAAATTTCTTACTTGATTTAAACTTGGCCAAGTGTTAATTTAATTATTTAACGGTAATTGTCCCGATTTTATACATATAAATTTTTTTATAAAAAAATATAAAAAGGGCCGAAATTTTTTTAAAATTATTTATTTATTTATGATCCGAATTTTTTTTAAGAACACTCGAGTTTTTTTTTGTGTCGGAAATTATTTTTTTTATTAGGGCCGAAATTTTGGCTCTCTTTTTTTTTAGGGTAAATATGTATCCTTTATTTTTATGTATTGCAGGGAGCAAGGATTGAGGTAAGTATTATGTGTTAAAAACTTTTATTAACATGTTGGTGAGCTTGGGTAGGAAAAAGAAAGGGCATATAGGCTAAGATTTAAAGATTTAAATTATTTCCTATGTGCATAATTTTATTTTGAGTGATCAAGCATGTGATTTGACTAGGTGTTTGTTGATGAAAGCATGAAAAATGTGTATTATTCTATGTGAACCCTAAAGATTGTATGATTGAACACTGAACTTAATCTCCTACAAAACCGTATTATTTATTTTATTTTATTTCTTTAGGGAAGGGAAATCTTTTCTAAGCCTTTTTCTCTACAGGATGCCAATCTTTCCTAGCAAGTTTACACAAATGGGATCTCGTAATGAAAAATAATGAACACCCTTATGACTTTGTAGAAAAGATCAGATACTTTTGTTCCTACCTGAGCAATGTCTTAAGAGAGAGAGTTTATGACACCCCTGATCATATTTCCACAATGATTGTCCATTTCCTTTCTAGAGGAGCCCCCCTACATTGCTTTCAAATAGAAATTTTCTGACTTTTACCTTCCAGGAGACGTTCCAAATTACCATAAATATAGAGACTTTTATGGCTAGTGGTATCCAGATTATATTTTCTTAACTAAATATCTCGTAAGGGTGGAGAAAGCTCATCGTCAACACTTAAACCTTCCCTACCCTGACTACTACTATGATAACCCAGTAGGGAACAATCCTCCTCCTAATCAACAACCAGGAAATTCTGCTTCTTCTTCGTCAGGGGGTGGTCAAGCAGAGAATGGAGAACAACAAGAGGGTAATAGTTCACTTATGGACATTTCTGATCCAAATCCACATCCAACTCCAATAATTATAGATATTTCATCGGATGAGGAGGAAGAAGGGGAGTTTGTACAAGTAGAATCTGAACCTGAGTCACCTGAACTAATGGAAGAGTCAAATGATTCTAATTTCAATCCTTCAAGCGACAAGCAATCCACCGAAAAAAGGGACGACGTTCGAAAGGATTAGATCTTATAACTTTCCTCGACACGAATTCATAGTCTTTATTTTTAAATTATTTGTTATTTTAGTTTTAAACGTAATAAGTGGCATGACCACATAAGTTCCTGGAACACTATTTTATTTTAGTATTTTCAGTCTATTTTTAATTAATAAGACCTTATTTATTTCTTTGATAATTTTTTTTTAATAAATTCATTTGTTTTCCAAATCTCCCATTTCACACCACTATTCCAATAATCACCATTCCAAGCAACTTATCTCCAACAAAAATTTATAAATTGTGAACGGCTATGGGAATTATTTTTTTTTTATATATGTGATGCTTTATTAAATGCATGGTTGGTTAGCAATCAATAATTAATTGATAAAGCTACATTAAGGGAATTCTTAGCAATCGCTATCCCAAATTGTTAGCTTCAAATTCTCCTGTAAATGTTTAAGGGTCGTTAGGTAATAGACGAATGTACGTCTTGAGAGCTAAACCTAGCCATTTCTAATATAAATCCTTGTCCTATATTCAGGAGAAACAAAATGGCAAGGGGAAGAAGTTCAAGTAGTGGTGGAAACGATTTGAATGAAGTAGTGAGGCAATTGGCAGCAGTTGCCCAACAATTGGCAAGAAACTCAACTGGTAATGGGGATGCTCAAGGGGATCTCTTTAAAAAGGTGGCACCAAGCAAGCCACTAACCTATCAAGGCGATCCTGACCCTATTTTATTGGAAAACTGGTTAAGGGAATTTGAGAAACTATTTGGAGCTGTGGGATGCCCTGAAAACTCAAAAGTGAGTTGTGCTACTTACTACATGAGGGGTGAAGCTGACCTTTGGTGGCAACAAAACCAGGCTACCATTAGAGCGTTACCTGGGTTTATCTGGACAAAATTCCAAGAGAAAGTGAGAGACAAGTTTTATCCTAACATTTTGCAGAAGCAGAAGGCTGAGGAATTCTCAAACCTTAGGATGGACAAGATTACAATTACGGAATACTACACCAAGTTTATTGAATTATCCCGTTTTGTTGAAGGGTCTGTCTCTACGGAGAAAGAAAAAGCTAGGAAGTTTGAGAGTGGGTTAACTACTAACTTGCAGTTAAAACTATGTGGATGAAGTATATGGAAGGGCCGCACACCTTTATGCTCTAGAAGAAAAGAAGAAGAAAGAGTTAGCTGAAGTAGAAGGAAGAGAGAAGAGGAAGGAAGTGGGGCAAGTTTCTAGAAACCAACAGGGAAACCAAAATGGTTTTAAGAAGCAGAAATACCACCATAACAATAACTTCCACAACAACAACAACTTCCATGGTAATAACCGTCAAGGGAACCGTAACAACAATGGAGGAGCTAGAAACAATAACCAGGGAAATAACAGGAATGGGAGAGTTTATTTTTGCAAGAGGTGCAAGAATAACCACCCTGGAAAGGATTGCGAGGGAAATATGGTCACTTGTCGTTTTTGTAATAAGCTCGGGCATAGAGAATATGAGTGTTTCTCCAAAAATAGTAATGGGAACAGGCAAAACAATAATAATTCAGGGGGAAACCAGAGGAATTTCCAACAGAACAACAACAACTTTGCTGGGAGCAAGGGAGTGCAACAAAATGGAGCAAGGAACAGTAACAACACCAGTAAGAATAGCCAACAGAAGAGTGGTACTGCAGGGAAATTGAATGTTGTGAGTAAACATGAGGCAGATGCTACGAAAGATGTTATCACTAGTACTTTTTCTATTAACTCTATTCCTGTTAAAGTATTGTTTGATTCTGGTGAAACTTTTTCCTTTATTTTTAAGGCTGTTGTTTCAAAACTTAAAGACTGTTTAAAGACAGTAGAGGTAATAGATTTACCCATAACCATCCCGACAGGTGGGGTAGTGATTTATACCAAAACTTTTAGAAATAGAAGGAAAGATATTTCCGTCTGAACTCATTGAATTTAGTCTGAGCGAATTTGACCTTATTTTGGGGATGGACTAGTTGAGTAAGTATAATGCTGAGATTAGTTGTAGATCACATAAAGTGAAGATGGTCACAAGTGGAAATGAATCAGTGACTTACTAGATGAAGGTAAAACCAAGTGCCCAAGGGTAATATCAGTGCTAAATTTAGCAAAGTACATGAAGAAGGGACATACAGTATATTTCTGTAGTGTTAGGGATATGAACCATGAATAAGTGGAAAATCCAGAAAATATAGAAGTGGTCAATGAATTCCTGGATGTATTTCCGGAGGAGATCCCTAGGATGCCACCTAAGAGGGCAATCGACTTTATAATATATTTAGTTCCCGGAACAGCCCCAATATCCAAAGCACCATATCGAATAGAACCTGCAGAAATGAGTGAATTAAAGGAGCAATTACAAGATCTATTAGACAAAGGGTACATTAGAACAAGTGCTTCTCCTTGGGGAGCACCAGTTCTGTTTGTGAAAAAGAAGGATGGAAGTATGAGGTTGTGCATTGACTACAGGGAACTAAATAAAGTAACCATAAAGAATAAGTTTCCCTTACCAAGAATCGATGATCTGTTTGACCAGCTAAAGGGGTGCCACAGTGTTTTCAAAGATTGACTTGAGATCAGGGTATCACCAATTGAGGATTGCCGATGAAGACATTCCAAAAACCGCATTTAGGATAAGATATGGACATTACGAATTAACAGTCATGCTGTTTGGATTGACCAATGCCCCAACAATCTTTATGGATTTGATGAATAGGGTATTTCATCAATTTATGGATAAGTTTGTAGTTGTATTCATAGATGACATACTGGTGTACTCGAAGAGTAAAGAAGAGCACGCAGAACACCTAAGGGCAATTCTGCAAACACTAAGAGAAAACCAACTCTACGCAAAATTCTCTAAATGTGAGTTTTGGTTGGAAAAGGTAGCCTTCTTGGGACATTACGTGTCTAAAGACGGAGTAGAGGTAGATCCAACCAAAATAGAAGCAGTTAAGGGTTGGCCTACACCCAAGACAGTATCTAACGTGAGAAGTTTCTTAGGCTTAGTAGGGTATTATAGGCGTTTTGTTAAGGATTTTTCCAAAATTGCTAAACCAATGACCACTTTGATGAAGAAGGACAAGAAGTTTGAGTGGGACGATAAATGTGAAGAAGCGTTCCAACTCTTGAAACAAAAACTAATCACAGCACCAGTACTTACACTCCCGAATGATAGTGGACTATATGATGTGTACAACGACGCATCAAAGAATGGCTTAGGTGCGTTCTTATGCAAAATGGGAAGGTGATTTCATATGCATCGAGACAGTTAAAGAAACATGAAGTAAACTATACCACCCATGATTTGGAATTAGCTGCAATCATTTTTGCACTAAAAATTTGGCGCCATTATTTGTATGGGGTGAAATGTAGAATTTACACATATCACAAAAGCTTAAAATACATTTTCACCCAAAAGGACTTAAACTCCCGTCAGCGAAGATGGTTAGATTATATGACAGATTATGATTTAGACATGCAATACCACGAAGGGAAAGCGAATGTGGTTACGGACGCTCTAAGTCGTAAGACTAGTCATGGAATCAACTCGTTGGTAGTGGCTAATGAACTATGTAGAGAAATGATGAAATTGAATCTAGAGGTCATAGAATGGGGAGTACCAGCGGGTATTCTTGCGAATCTAAGCATCTAAGAAAATATATTTGACGAGATTCGAGTCAACCAAGAGGGGGATGTAAAGTTAGATAGGATTCGCGAGAAAATTAAGCAGGGAAGGACTACAGGTTTCAAGATTCACGAAGATGGGAGTTTGAGATACAAAGATAGATGGTGCGTACCATAGAAATGTTAGGAGGTGAAGAGAAAGTTGATGAAGGAAGGCCACAATACACCTTACTCTGTACACCCGGGAGGAGACAAGCTATATAAGGATTTAAAGAAGATGTTTTGGTGGCCAAGAATGAAAAATGAGGTTGCTGAGTTTGTGGCAAAGTGTTTAACATGTCAAAAGGTGAAGATAGAGCACAAAAGGCCTCAAGGAACGGTGCAGTCACTAAAAATTCCATGATGGGATTGGGATTGCATTTCAATGGATTTCGTGACTTGCTTACCTAAGTCAAGGAGTGGAAATGATACCATTTGGGTAGTGGTGGACAGACTTACGAAATCAGCAGTGTTTATACCAATTAAAGAAACTTGGAAGATGGAGCAACTTGCGAAAGCTTACATCAAACATGTGGTGAGGTTACATGGGGTTCCAAAAGATATTATATCTGACAGAGATTCCAGGTTTCTCTCAAAATTCTGGAAAAGTGTACAAGAAAATTTTGGTACGATACTTAAGATGAGTACGGCATTTCACCCCGCCACAGATGGACAAACTGAAAGAACCATTCAAACCTTGGAGGACATGTTGAGAGCTTGTGTAATAGACTTCCAGGGAGGTTGGAAAGATAGTTTGGATTTAATTGAATTTTCCTACAATAATAGTTACCACACAAGCATAAGAATGGCACCATTTGAGGCTTTGTATGGGAGAAAATGTTGGAGTCCAATTTTTTGGAATGACATTAGTGAAACTATGATCCTAGGGCCTCAAATGATTGAAGACACAGTTAAACAAGTAAGGGAAATTCAAGCTAAAATTCAAGCAGCTCAAGATCGCCAAAAGAGCTATGCAAACTCAAAGCGAAGGGAAGAAGAGTTCGAAATTGGTGATAAAGTGTTGTTAAAGGTGTCACCAATGAAGGGGGTGATGAGATTTGGAAAGAAAGGAAAGCTTAGTCCAAAATACATTGGTCCATATGAAATACTGCAAAGAATAGGCAAAGTAGCTTATAGGTTAGCATTACCTATGGAGCTTAGCAAAGTACATGATGTATTTCATGTGTCCCAACTGCGAAGGTACATCCCTGATAAATCCCATCTTCTACAACCCGAAACCATTGAGTTAGATCAAAGCTTAACTTATGAAGAGAGACCTGTTAAGATTCTTGACAATAAAGTGCGTAGTACACGCAATAAAAACGTTAACATTGTGAAAGTACTTT